CAGGCCGGAATCCCGCTTGCTGCTCTCAATGACCCTGTCGATGTGTGCAAACGGTACGATTTTCTGATGCTCAAACTTTCGACCGACTACATCATTTCATTGGAATCACAATAAGTTTCCTTGTATCAGTGATTCCTGAGTGTAGGATTACCTCCGTAACCATCGCCCGATAATGAGCGATTGTAAGTTCCTCTACCGGAGAAAGTTGTTGTTGCAGTTGCGTTCAGTTGTAGCAACCTTCCGGTGCCTTGCTGCCATTCCATCCGAAGGAAGCAGGAGGGCTGGGATACTGCCAGTTTGCCCAAGCCTAGACAGGGGAAGTCGAGTGGCGGAGGTCGGATTCGAACCACGAACCTTCCGGTCAGTAAATTCGCGCTCTAACCACTTGGGCCATCTCGCCCCCGGAGAAAGACCATAGATTCTGTTCTCTGCAAAACGGACTCTCATCGGGCTTTAATTCCAATAACTTCTGTGGATGCGCACTGAGCAACGCAAAACTGGCTAGGCTTGCTCCGTTTGCCTTCCTAAACATAAACTAAAAATGTCATAGTTATTTCTGATGCGCAGGGGACCTGGCTATCAAGCCATAGATGAATTTCGGCTTCCTTAAATTTGGCTATGATTACTGCTGCCCTCAGCCGTACAGAGAGCACTGGAAACCCAGAAAGTGCACCGATAGAACAGACGCGCACTTTGGAAGACAAACTGTAGTAGTTTCCAGAAAAAATCGAGGCTGAGTTCAGGTCATCACACACTCAGCAGAGTGCAGACGAACCCTTCATTGACATAAACTTTGATAGAGGGCAATATCCATAAGATTGAACAATCTAAGGGCGACAATTAGTTTTCAACCAGCTCCTCATCAAGACCACTGTGGATACCAAAAGGTAGTACTTCTTCTTGGGAAATACCAAAACTGGTGAATTCTCAAGTTCCTCAGAGAACAGACGACAGAAGTCCCGTTGTCTTCGGGTGTTTTAGAAAGCTTTTGGAGGAATATGATGGAAATTTCAGGAGTGATAGGGGGGGCATTCTCTAATTGTGCAATACCCCCTGATCATAAGACGTGTTTGATCGTCAGCTCCTGTCAGTTGAGACACTGTGAACGAGCAATTTTGATGCTAATCAACCGGAACCAAATAAAAACTGGGAAATGGGTGACAATCATATAATCACCCAGTTTCTTTGTTGGGAACAGCTTCCACAACTTTATCACCTTGGACCAGTGAAACCGAACAACTGTGCGCCCGCCAAAGCGGTGCAACCAGAAGCTGCCAGGAGACACAAAATAAACCAGGACAAAAATATACGTACATCCCGCTTTTTGACCTACATGAGGACCACAATTATTAAACTATGGTAAGAAAAGCAATGTGAATGGTCCAGCTGTAGCATCTTTTCGCTGCCTAGCTGCCAGGCCACCTGAAAAGGAGGCCGGGACAGAAGACATCGTTTAATTACTGAGAGGACCTGAGTCCGCTGTGGATCTCAAGGAAGCCTAGTGTACCGGATGTTAGCACTTAGTGCGATCCAAATTAGCAAGAACAAAAATCGCCCCAGTAGGACAGCTGAAAACTGCCTCAGCATAAACGACATTCTGATCGAAGTTGATGATAAGATCCCCCATAAAAGCAACTGCGAAGATGGAGGCTTCTAAGTGTCAAATGCTTCGGAACTAAAATGGCAAAGTACTGAAGGAAGCTACTCAGAGGAGAAAACTACGAGGGCATAAGGTAGCGTTTGGCTTCCGTTAGGTCCTTCTAGCTGTATGCAAACGCGTGGAATAAACGAACACCCGAGTGAGTAGATAGATAATCATGGTGGGCAAGAGGACGTGCTCAAAGTGACCGGGATACCAGTCAATCACAATCAAGCATTGTTGATTGGACGCTTTCTGTTCGATCACAAAGACTCGGGTGTAAACTTGAGGTGGCCCTTTGATTTGCTCTGTAAACAGTCAAGATGATCTTGCTGCCTCACTACAACCCGTCTCCGGTCGCCGTGTGGGGGCGAAACTGGCCAGGAAACCCTTTGAGTGTTGCGCGACCACATCAGTGGCGTGAACTCGATGACGTACACTTCTTTGGTGTCAACAAGAATTTCCTTCATGATATTCTCCAACCATGAGGTACACCAAGGTTACCTCACGTCTAGTTGGCACGATATTTAAGTATACTTCTTGCCAAAACCCCTTCGACAGCCCGCTACCGCTTCCGCCATTATCGAGGCTCACCAGCTACGCGCATTCTTCAGATTTCCGTTAACCTTACGTCGTAATTCAGTGCCAAATGGCAGGCAACTGAAGAACCAAGCACATTTACTAACTGAATTAGTGTTAACGGCACTCACACAAAACTCTTGATATTCCTCAAATGAATATACTGCGCAAAGGTCACTTCACGTTTCAGCTGGAATCCAGACGAGTGACTTGACGAGTGTACTTCGTCAATTACATACAACTTGGTGTTCAAGTGAAACAGTGGAACCTCGGGGATCACCCTGACTCGACGAGCCATAGGAAGGGCGAAGCCCATCGTAAGTTGTCGAAGATTTTACCAACCCTATGAGAAGTGTGCTCTATCAAGAAAGAAATACTGGTGCAAATTATGAAGTTGGCTGACGAACATATTCAAAAAGATAATTGCATAAATAACAGTAGGCAAAGAGACATATCTTGATGTTTGAAAAGAAAACTGCTAACGCGGTGAACTCACTCCCGGCTGTGCGATGTGATGAGATGGTAAAGGAGCCGGCGACTGTTTGCGTTTAGACGCTCTCCCTGTGTTGCTGTTGCTGTTTGTTTCTGTGGCAGCCGCGCTACCTTTCCTCTTTCTCCGTTTCGACGGTTGACGGGTGGCTTCTAACAAATGTGACAGATAGGACGATGCAATGGAATTATTGACAATATAAACAATCCATGAGAACAACCTAACTGATATGACACTTAAAGTTTTCGTCAGCGTCAATTTGATATTTAAATTAGTGAACTCACGAAAACAGATCGTCCCGCTTTTGGACACGCACGCATATGCAGAAAGAAAACTTCCATGACAGGAAAAAGTTTGAGACCTATCCTCAAAATGTTGCCTGAGACAAGCAGTTGGCCAAAAATGTTATAAATATTGAACAGTCGTACACCCGGCAAGTTCAGCTCACTCTGTGAGGCGTACATAATGCATTCAATAAGATCCCGAACTACTGAAGGTTAAGCAGTACCAAAAAGTTGTTGCATTCGCCGAACAAGAAATTCTTTATAGTTTACAATGAATTGGCATACGGAATGAAAGATTTTACTGGTTCGCTTTGTTCGGCAACTCGTCAAAAGTCGTTAGGAATCTGACTGCGAGTAAACGGTCAAAGGATTTTTCCCAATTCGCGATCAGGGAGGACCTGATAATTACCAATTCGTGGGCTCGAAGTTCTGTAGAAATGGTAGCTGTAAACCAGGCGTGATCGGTACTGGAGAGGAGGGACGCCCTTCGCTGCGACGTCATTTATTAGCAGACATGAACTGAGCAGTTACAAGTTATTAGACAAGAAAGTAAAGATCTCATATGTACATGTTCTTTAAAAACTGGACATTCCCACGCGTCCTTTTGAACTTGCCTGAATATTCACCGAATATCAAACAACAGTGAACGAACAACGCTAAGCAGTCGCACTATTTCCCTAACAAACTCCACCGTTTATCAGATGCGGGAGCGGAGCTTGGACACTATAACATACACTACTCGCATGCCTAACCAGTAGTGAACACCGTCACACTGGAAAAAACAGGATATCACCAAAAGCCTGGGTGCTGCCGATGCGTCCCACACTCGAGTGCTTTGCTGGAGATGTGGCTGCGAACCGGTGAGATTCACGTTCCTGGTTTCTGTCAAGATTGTAGGTATTTCAGCATTTGTGTTCGGCCACCACTGGCCTCTCCCAATTTTCTGATTGACATGGTTTTGCGGTAGTGAGCCATCAATATCGTACTGTTCTGCAAGGGTATAGCCATCAAAAGTGATGGAGTTAAGTTTGGGGGTAATGCCGAATAGATGGATCAGAAGCAGGTGCAGTTACGGTTTCGTTTACCGATTATTTGAATGGGTGGGGTAGGTGGCTGCGCAGGGCTGCCGGTGGATTTTTACGTGGGAAGATTGGGAAGGGAGGTATGCATTGAAGGCGATAGCCTGGATGCACGAGCGCCACTGACAGAGCGACTGGGCTACGTTTAACAATGTCTCTAACCATTTATGTGCTACATATCGGGTTCCCATCCAAAGAGACAACAATGACCAGCGCAGCTGAGTTGGCTGGTATCGGCTTCCATACTTCGCTGTCAAGCCAGTGTTTGACCTCCCTTGGCTCGTTTCCACTCTTCGCGTGGTTGTGCGAAAAGTATCTTCGAGGAAGTCTGTCGACTGACATACAGTGCACGTGGCTGAGAGGGCGCAACCTATGAAGATCACGCCTTTCACTCACAGAAGTCATGCCTTTGATCCATTAAGTAGGACATACAGAACAGCAGCACTCAACACCCTATTCACAAACTTAGAACGTTGTCAAACGCTGAGGTGAACTTCATGATTCCATAAGTGATTTCATCCGGCGCCAGTCATACTGGATTTATGCAACTGCCCAGACTGAATGGTACATCTGCAAACTTGAGTTGTTTCCTCCCACCAAGTCTTGCAGTAAAAATATACTTTCGGGTGTAAACAGCACAGTAAACCGTGCGGCGAAATACTTAAGCTATTTAAACTGGTTTGTACTTCCAACAGCCTTGAACAATGTCGTCAGCGTACCCAATATCTGTAAGCGAACGCCCCTTAAATATTTCAATCCCCGAGGTGCCAGAGGCAGGTGTAGACTCAAACAGCACCCGCATTGATCGACTGCTCCTGTCTAGGCTTAGGCAACTTGACAATACCTCAAACCTTGTGCTTCCTTCGGGTGGCACGACCGCTACGAACCGAAGGGGCACTAAGGCTGAATTATTATTATTGCTGGCGCTTTTCAGGTGATGAATCTAATGGTCTTAAACCAATCTGTCATCCTCTGTGCGGTGAGCGTCAAGCCGTATAGGTGATCAAGATGAGCTTAACCCGGATTCAATTTAGTCGACTTGGGTATTCATATCACTTGCCAGAATCACAACATCCGAAGCAGCCGTAGTAAATTCCGATCTTAACTTAGCCAGTTGACCGGACAGCACAGACTACTAGTTACTAGAATCCAGTCCAGTAAAGGGCATTCAGCCCTAGGGCCAAACACAACCTCCACGTCATATGCCATTGTGTCAGAATCATGAGATATTCAAAGAACAAAGTGCAAAAAATATGAGTTCATATCGAGCGGTCTGAGGTGTATGACCGAAATTGTATGAATGTTTCGGAGACGCAACCGGTCGAAAAAGAAAGCAAGTTCAGAACAGATGCTTTGTTGCTAAGTCTGACGGGGTACGAACCTTGAAAGCCTTAATGTGGAATAGATTTCCTACATTCAATAGACTTTTTTTGGTTTGGTTTGGATACGGAAAGAAGGTTATCTTTCTTTGAAGATAGCTCCAATTTGTTCTCCAATCCCACCCTTTTTTCCGAATATCAGGGAGATCACATCCGAAAAACATGGTACTTTAATTGATAATCTACTACACCATCCTCAAAGATGGGAAAGACATTACGAACAGTTGGGCAGGCCAAAACAATATGCCCAGCTGAGTTGGTCCGATTTCCAAATGTCGCAGCACTGCAATCGAAGCTGCTTAGATGAAATGAAGCTCCGAGCTCAGACTCCCCAAGCTGTCATTTTCAAAGATGAGTGTGAGATCCCTATCTCTGTCTCAAAAACCGTACGACGTACATGAGAAACCGAACGGGTATCGCAAGCACGACAATTCCTGTTTCGGTCCCTTGGCTCCCTGAACGGATCAGCAGTGGGACGGCAGGTAAACGTACACTTTATGGTGAAACTGAATTCGTCCAGTACGCGATCGTCTAGTAAACGAAAATGCAATCTTCCCTGGCTAGGCCGTTAAGAGAGCAACTGTCGCAAATGTTGTTTACGAAGGCCGAACCGAACTAGGGACGGAGTGGCTGGTCGGTGACATTCGGGAGCTACGAAACCATTCGCCACACACCTCTGGAGGAATTGACAGATGCCATTTACTGAGTCGGAGAACAGAGGGCAACCCTCCTCGATGTAAACACTTTCCGGTTTAGTAGCGTGTCGCAGTCCGCAGCGAGCCTGACTTAATTCAGGGAGCCCACTTCCAACTTCACGCCTCACAATCCCGTTTAGTGGGCCATGCGTGTCCTTTCAACTGGTTTTGGGGTTGTCCAACCCAACCACAGCAGGAGATATTCACTCACAAGAATAGCTCAGTGCTGAAGCTGTTTGTGGTGATAAGCTGTTTGTGGTGTCCTATGTAACACATACTGATTAACAGAACAATGACAATAATCACTCACCAATACCTACAGCAACGAATAAAACTCCCTCGACTCTACTCCCGCCCCCGGTCCATTTTCGCCTCATCAGCTTTTCCTGAGAAATTGTTTTTACATCCCGTAAGCTCTCCGCTCAGTTTCTTTCATGATTTTAATGTGTGCAGCTTGTGGTTTAAAAATGAATTAAACTAAAACGGACCAATAAATCATCTTTGTAGTTAACTGACAATGAAATAAACTCATCATGACGAAATTAATAGGTTCAAACAGCGACAAACTGAAAACCGGGTAATTCAAAGAGAGAATGCTTCCCACAACGATGGTTAACCATCCTTGATCAATGATCAAACACGAACAGGTTTGGCATCAAAAGGCACACCATAAGCCGTGGGTTAAATAGTGGTAATTCCCTAGAGTAACAGAGATAAAAAAAACGCATAGAATTACTGGTACTGAGGTAAGCATCATCGAGAAAATAGGGTATTGCTCACCTTGGGGCATCATTCGCTGCCACTTCTGGAATAGCGTAGTTTTCAAACAGTCTCGTGGAGTAAGACTGTAAGCCTTTTGCCTGGACATTAACTCTTGCATTGGTTCCAGTATAACACAAAGGCGGAAGAAGTTCAAGGTGTTTGTGGTCATGCCATAGCGAGTGATGTTTTTCGTCAGTTGCTCAAGGAATGCAGGATCCTGTGAGGGAAAGACAGGCCAGTGACTGGTGGCGAACAGCAGCCATGAGAGTTCATTTCAAGAATAAAAATATCCCAACAGGATGCTGTTGTTGGCTTCACGGAATATACCAAATTCAGTTAGTGACTACCAAAATCACTTCCGCACCGATAAAATGGCTTCAGTGATGAAATGCAACAAGTTTAAATACACGCTCAATAAACTGAAATTAACCCAGTTTTCCAAGCATTAAAATGTAAAGACAAGTACGACGGCCCTGACTACTGCAATCTCCGGACAAAAGAAAAAAGGTGAAAAAACTGCTCAGCATGAAACGACAAAGGCAAACTGAGAGAGAAGGAATACAGGAGTGACACTAATCCAGCAATCTATGAATTGATCACCTCTATAATCGTTATCACCAACACAACCACATCGGTGTTCAACACTGATGCTTCATCGCCGTACTGTGAACAGTAAGAGTGGGGAGGGAAGGAACTTAATGCTAGCTTACCACAGTCATTTAAAGATGCCTACACTTTCGGAAACTCATTCGGTCACTCTGGATAGAAACTGACAGCAAGAACTCGATTGACATCGACCAGGAGGTATACCTTGCGGCGTCTTCAACCGCAAACCCCGGAGGATCATGCGGATCAAATGCTGGAAGACGAGTCGCATCAACAGTAGCCAGACTTTTCATAATCTTTCAAATTCCTCTGCCTGTCCGCCTGCACCACTCCGAAAACAGCAGTCTTCGGTAAACGATGATTCGGTGTTTGACATATATGAACAATCCCATAATGCTTTTGGTGCTGGATGCTTCTTCAACTGAAGTTCACATTGCATAACCGAACACTCGTTTCTGATTGTCGTGCTGCAGATTCGATGACTGAACACGCCTTCGCCACCAAGGCTTGGATGTATGTTCCACTTCCGTTTTCTGGTGATCGAAATTGTAGCAGGTGGAACCAATGTGCCTATGGCACATGGTTCATAGCTGATAAGTTGATGGATTGACTTGATTCGGTGGCACTAGCTTACACCAGCTATCGTTCTGGGACAACGATTGTTCAGGAACTGAAGGCGTTTCAGCTCCGCTGCAAGCAGAGACCACGTCTCAGCGATACAACAGGATCCGTAAGGCAGCCGGATACATAAGTCTCATGAGACTCAGGGATACACTGCTTTGTCACTCTTTGTTATGTCCAGTTATGCACAAACGTAAGACGCCTCTTGTCGAGAACTGACCACTCTCTTGTCCACCAAGAAGAGTTTGAATATTGTCATAGTAACATATTTTAGTGCACACGTAGGATGTCTCAGTTCGTCAGCACGCCTTGGCGGTGCATTTAGTTTGAACACAAATTGTCTTTCGCCACTTTGTACTGATCACCAGTACTGCGTTTAGACGCCGTGGGTGCTAGTGCGCTACTGGTGCCCCCCCCCCCAAGAAACGAGCAGCCTTGGAGTCAAACTGACCGCATCGTTATCAGCTACTGATGGTGTGGTTCGCTCCTTGACTGGCAATCGTTTTGGAATACGCAAGTCTGTCCAGATCAGGCTGTCGTCCGGTGCATGTTTTAGTTAAACTTCAATGGTAAACTCCAGAAACAGGCTCTTCGTATAGCAGTGAGGCTTTGTGATCCACGACTTCAGATAACACGGCCTACGACGGGGTGCATTACAAGCTGTCTGCTCAGAAGATACTGAGCGAGATAATCATGACTACTTTCACCTCTGCTTGTGGGGTTCCCGACCAGGCTAGTTTTCACGTCAAAACAACCACCAAAGATGCATAAGTTTATTAGCGCCCCAAAACGAAGTCAGGAACACTTGTATAGCGCTTCATATATATAGCGTAGGCGGCAATAACTTTCTGGAAATTCTGACGCGTTCTGGATGCGCCACTGGCAACCGGCATTTGGCCAATACGTCCAAGTTCAGTCACAACTCTGAACACTTCGAAGTCTGTTTTCTAACCCCGAAAGCCTGCCTACTTAGCCACCTTCAATGTTTGCACACTGAAGCAAGCAGCTCAACAGGTGGCTCTTACTCGTATGCTGGATCCCCGTTGCATTGATGTATGCTGTCTGTCAGAAACAAGGATGCAGGGCATAAGTACTGTGGTCGAACTGACTGTCCCTCGCTGTCTCCCAGGTTCCGGCTACGCACCTCTGGTGATGCAGAGGCCACTGCAGATGGATATGCCGGGGTGGGTACTGTATTGAGCGACCGGGCGGAAGCGTCTTTGCTTGATTGGATACCCGCTGATAGTCACCTCCTTGCGGTCCACTTGGCGACATCTGTGAGACAATCTAAAGGAAGTGAGGTCCATCGCACCTTGCTTATTTTAACTGTTTACGCCTAAATGATTGTAGCTCCGAATCTACCAAGGACAGTTTCTATGGCGTTCTAGGTACCCTTCCACAAGGGGTCTACAAGCTAAGATATTGTTGTGGTTGCTGATGATATGAACGCCCAGGTAGGTAGACTAAGTGCTGCTGAAGCAAGATTGGGTGGTCGTCTTGATTTGGACACGAGACGCACGGACAACGGAGGCCGCTCACTTCAGATATGTGCCGATCACAGACTGCTCCTTTGTAGTACTGATTTCCGGAACAGCGGGAATCGCTTGACAACGTGGTGCCCACCAACAAACCAGTCCCGAATACAGATAAACGTTATCGTGGCAAGGGTCAATCAATGCGTGCCACCCCTTCTGGAACACCAGTCTGGACTGCGACCATGCACTTGTACGCTGCTGCTTTCCACTGCGCTTCTCATATGCACGCAAAACGCACACGTCTCGCTTAGCCACTGAGAGACTGGGAGACTCAGAAATCAAACGAAGCTATAGGAACCAGCTCGTCAAACACCTTCCCGACGGCCCGAGGTCGGGAAAGTGGAAATGAACCACCGCAATGATGTTGCACGGATATGAGCCGACGAACCACTATCCTCGCTGTCTCTTGAAACGCTGAAATCCCGCTCCTTCTAGAGGAGGAATCTCCTGCCGGTGGGACAGTGCTAAGCACATCCACCATGATTAAGGATTTCACCCCTATATTTAAAGGACGCAATTTCATCAGAACCTGTACATCAGTGACGAGTAACTCGGGGTGGAAGAAACGAGATTGATTAACGAAATGAGGACAATATTGCACCAAGCAGCTTCAGCAGCCCGTGCGCGGAAGTCAAATCGGGTTGCAGGGATCGCTGGCAGGTGGTAATTTGCTGTTTCAACAACAAATTCGTTGCCGCAACGTAATTCGTGGAAGCAAATAGCATGTTGCAAAGTACAAATGACTTGAACAAAAGGCAGCGCGAATGAATGAAAATCGGATAAGGTTACACATGCTAAAACAATACAACAGAACCCAGATCGTTCTCAAGAAAGGCACAGATACCTACCTGAAATCCTAGCATGGAACGATTGATCATCTCTTGATGAGAATGGATCTGAAATATCCAGGAGCGAATTCGCATCATTTCGTCTAGTGCGAACTCTAAAGTGAGTCGACCTTCGATAATGACAGTTGCTGGAATTCCTCGTATCATATTCATAGTCATCGTGGCTGCCGTCGATACCAATGTTAAACTTGTGTGGTGAAAGTATTCATGATTAAGTCGTAAATTAAAATAAAGTTCGCCACAGCCGCTTTCGAAAATACTTCTGAAATAACGCGGAATCAGCGTTCTCCCGATAGCTAAAAATTATATCACACGTAATTGCAATTACTGTAGCGCTTTGGTCCATCTTCTGTCGGAAATCCAACCGTGAGAGCAGCATCATCTTCGAAAAAATCTGTTGCAAACGCCTCCCACCATGCGCTATCACAGTCCTTTGGGAAAATATTTAAACCCAATTCTGACTTACATCCATACGCTGTTGTAACCGTTTATTCATTGCAAAAATCCGTAGCTCCGGTTGGCCAATGAAGTGAGGCATCCGGTTTCTAAGAGGGAGTGGAACAATAAACAGGTTTGAACGTTTTGCAAAGAAAGATGTGTGGGAACTTCGTGAAAATACATGCATGCATCAGTAACAGAAACACCGATAAGCACAAATGCCTGCCCTAACCACCTACAGACCAGCAGTTCTCAACCTGGAGGCGTCTCTCTGAAGGACATTTCAAGAGTCTGGTAGGGAATCGACGCAAAAAATCATCAATAATTTGCACCAAATTCACTAAAGCCCTAAAGCCTCAGCTATGTAGGTCTAAGTAGTTGAGTTTTTCAGTTGTGGATTCCGATATTACACTCCATAAAACCAAGAGTTTGGATTCAAATATACTGACTTGCACTGCCTCTGATGTTGACGAACTGGAATGCATAAAATTAGAGCCGAAAATTTCCCCCCATAAAATGGACAGATTGCGTTACCTGTCCAATCCGCCAGCTATACTGAGGCACAGAATTTCTCAGTTCTCTTAAAAATCTCGCCAGTAACTTCGCTATGCAATATGGCTGTAGAGTCTGAAGCAGCACGACGGACGCCACGGGGCCGACTTTTGCTGCTACTCAGTTTTACACAGACCTGAAGTTAGAAAGTAGATCGGTAGTGAATTCTGTACTTAGGAGATTGGGTAATTGAGACATGAGGCAGCAGTTACCAGGGGTCCGATTATATAAGGCAGTTAAAGTACGGCACGAATTAGAACATACCGTCGGTAATATTAGACTGGCAATTCGAAGAGTCGAAGAGGACAACTATTATAGTCAACGTGATATGTGAAACAAACAAAACGGCGCATAGAAGTAGAAACCAGAAAAGGTCAATTGGTCACACTTTTGGCGCCTGTCATGCCACCCGAAGGAAACGCGGGGGCCCGGGTACTACCAGGTTGCCCAGGCCCAGAAAAAAGAAGTCGAGATGCAGAGGTCGGCTTTGAACCACGGATTGTCCGGTCAGTAAATTCGCACTTTAACCAGTGAGTCATCTCGCGCTGACGCACATCCTTCCGAAGTCACTAAAGAGATCTTCCTAACGACCTATCTCTGCTAAGCAATGCGCCTGAAAGACCAGATATGACTTGTCAGTGGGATGAAAAAAGCATTAGTCCACAAGCTCGATTACTTTGAACGAGGACCCCAAGGGGGCTGAATGTTTAGATGCTACCAGACGGCCTGCAGCGTTCACGCACAGGTGTCCTTGTTTGCGATTCTCCATTCCAACCATAGTGCATATCCGCACTCACTTTTAAAGCACTGCTTAATTCTCCTCCCTAAGTTCTAATGCGAAGTTCTTCGTCCGTATAAAAGACGTTACTCATGATCGGAAGCAATATCTTGAATAATCGTATAGTAAACCGCTGATGGGGATGTCATACACCTGGCACTTCTAGATAGGGAAATTCACGACAAGTTCCCCATTTCGAGGAGCGGAGAGGGCGTTACCAAGAAATATTACATTTGCACACAAGACTCGAAATAGGGTTCGTCGTCACCTTAGACAGTCAACTTTGATGCAGGGACTGACTAAATTTGCTTCCTCCTTCGTGATGACCTCGAACAGGGAGTTGGGATTTCTGATGCCCATCTAGTTAACTTGGAAGTCAAGGGATATAGTGGAGGCAAATTAATTACCACATGAAAACCACTATTTGGAACTAAGCGAGGAACAACAGTAAAGTGCGACTGGCTCAACTATCAACTAACCGGCGATTCACGAGATGTTAAAAGAATGTTGCCCACGGTCGTGCTGGTGTCATGTTTCTGTCCGATCGTAAGCCAACGTTGACAGTGTAAACTTGTCTGTAATGGGGTAACCCGGCAGCCAGATTACTCATTGAAATCTGAATAGTGGAAAAATGGGACCTAAATGTAGACAGCTCGATCAGGCTTGCAACACACTAATCTCTTTCCACAGCAGTGGAACCCACCGGCGCCGACCCAATCATAGGGCATCTGAAGTACTGCAGCAGTCCTCAGCTGATACCACAAGGATTCCGACAAAAGTTTTCTTAGAAGGCAAAAATAGTTGTACCAACTGTACTGGTCATTGCCGTCTCCCTCGACCATGGGACACATCGATGGTTAGAGACACTGACAAACAAGGTCTAGGAATGCGTTCATTGGTGCAAATGCATTCATGCTTTCACTGCACAGCTTCTGCTTCTAATCTCCCCAACGTGAAATCTACTGCCACTCGCTGATTCACGCATCAGTTATGTCAACTACTGCCTCCAATGAGTAGCTATCCATCCCCACCTCCTCAAACCAGCGACAAACGAAAATATGGCGCCTTTGACCACTTTACATAATGAAGGCTAATAATAATAATAATAATCGAGCTTGATGCCGTTTGCCTACCGGAAGGTTTCTGACAGTGTGGCACAATTGTCTGCAGAAACTAGCTCCTTACGGTGATACCCAGTACAACAGAATATCCGTTGTCATTTGGACAAGTGAATCAGTGCAGTTACGCCAGACTTCTTAAGGGCATACTGCGGGTGCCCTTAGGGACCTGTGCATTAAAAAAAATAACCTACCGTGATCTTGCACTGTCTAGCAACGTTCTGCTGGCCATCTGAAACACCGGATGGCGGTGCACCGCAGACCAACATCCCACAACCGCATCTGCATATACACAACAAGGTCAGCAGACAGTCACTTATATCAATGAGAATAGCTACCACTTTTCCGTCACCGCTGTCCGAGATGGCTGTGGTTAGAGCAAATTTACTGACGGGAAGGTCCGCGGTTGGAACCTGACCTCTGGATCTCAACTTCTGTCTAGGCTCGAGCAACCTGGCAGTATCATAGCCCTCGTGCTTCCTTCGGGTGGCATGGCAGCTAAGCACCGAAAGGATGTTACAGCTGAACGATTGTCTTTACCGCTGTCCTCAAGTTCTGATCCACACTCTTGGATTCAAGCGGTGCACCTCAATGGGAAAAGGTCTTGTGGACTGTGGTAAGATCAGAATGCCAAAAGTCCACTGTCACCACAAGCGGGCTTCGTCTTACTTTCGGGAGTGCGAATTTACTAACCGGAAGGTCCGTGGTTCAAACCCGACCACTGCCTCTCGACTCCCCCGTTTAGGCTTCGGCAACCTGGCGGTATCCCAGCCCTCGTACTTACTTCTGGTGACATGGAAGTTATGCACCGAGAGGGTGTTACAAATGAATGGTTAACTTTTATCCCCATGCCACCAGGAATCTTCATACGTTTAGGCCTCCACAAGTAGGCCTCATATATAATAGCAGGCCGACAGGAATTATAAACATGCATATAGACACACTCATATGTGCCCTAAAGCCGTTACACCTCACACCACACGAAGGTTGAAGAATTCTACAACTATACAGTGACCCGTGTTCACACCGTTGGCGTTCCACCCTGACAGCAGCGTGAAACCTTATACATGTAAGTGTTTTAATAAGAACAGTCAACTTGCGCAGAAGTGACATCAAGAGATTTATTCACACAGCATTTGCTTCAACAGGCTAGCGGTGTACTCCACACACTCCCTAGGTAGCGCAATAATCTGCAGAAATTTGTCAATGCGACCACCCCAGGGTTTGCTGTGCATCTGCCTTGCACAAACTGTCGATGATCGCCTGGGATCGATTTTCAGCGTGAATATAAAGAATATGATGAAGACTCACATGGCTATCGCCTAAATAGTGCACAATGCCTTATCTACCGAGCGTAAATTAACTGGAACTTACAGAAAATACCTCATACAAATCTTACTGTATATTTCAAAGGTGCATTGTGCACGAGGACTTCAGGTGCCGCTGAAGAACAGCGAGGCGAAGAACAGGTGAACGATAGGAATCGTGATTTGGTGATTAGCACCGAGAACAAATGCGACGGCTCCGCTGGTTCTTTGTAGTTCACCTGCTGAGCAGTTCCAACCTTTGGTGTAGTATGATGATGGTGACATGGTTGAACCCTAGCAACCAGACGCCGGAGACTGAAAGCTGCGCGGCTAGGACCAATCAGTCAGTCGGCTAGAAAGCAAAAAGTAGTAATCCTGTAGCTAGTGGAATACGATTATTATCCACACTTTTGGATTTCCTGGATTCTAAAAGGCATGTTTGGATTATCTGAGCGCTTCGTCCTACGGGATGCAGAAGACTTGACCGGATGTCTAGCTATCTAGGCGACCCGAAGGTTAGGCATTTGTTTGAAGACCGCTGGAGATGAGGTAGCAACGTCAGTTGGAAGGGAATTCCAGCGGACACAAACAATGGGGGACACGACCTACAGCCGGTAGTTCCAGTGCCCATGTAGGCGTTCCACCTTCAGTGCAGTTTGCAAGAGGGATGGTTGATATGTAGAATTCCAGCATGTCTTCAACCAGCCTTCTGATGGTCACCAAGTAAAACTGAATTGTGTATCCAGTCATGCAGCCCTAGATCAGATGCTATCCGTTTTGCTCGCTCAAGTGGCCGTTCGTCTACTTTCAGTCACGGGTAGGAAGCTGGCGTTGCGTGCTTGGCGAGCAATCTGTGGTGAACTGGTTTTAAGAGGGTGAGATGGCTAAAGTGATTAGGGCGCGGATTTACTGACCGGAAGGTCCGTAGTTCGAACCCGACCTCCGCCTCTCGACTTCCCCTGTCTAGGATTGGGACAACTGGCAGTATCTCAGCTCTCGTGCTTCCTTCGGGTGGTATGGTAGCTAGGCACCGGAAGGGTGTTAAAGCTGAATTATTCCCGAAGACCGCCAGCAGAGCCATCAGCTGAGCACCGAAATGGCTTTGTGACATCGGGGAATTTGACAGCGCTTTCAGAGTTGGAAAACTGCTAAACATCGCCAAGCGCTAGAGGTTCAGACTTTAGTGGAGAATCCAGAAGTGACGAGATAGGGCTTTAAGGGGAAACTTGAGAGTTGTGAGATACAAACATTGACAGCCTAAGTTAATGGTAACCAGACTCAGTTGAACCCAAGCTGAATCTCTCGCTCATGATGCCCTCAACTGGACTCGCCAAATGTGGTGTCCAAGTAGACCACGGTAATGACAGAAACCCGGATACCGTCTGAAAAGTCCTATGAGCGAGACTGACATATAGTGGTCGAATAGGTGTTGACAGCCTTGTCTTATAAGGAAGCGAGTAGTCCTATATGGGATTACCATTTACTCTCCATTACTGACCGACTGGTCGGATATGGTGTCACGAATGTCAGCTCAAGTAACCCCGCGGGAACAACTATAGCTGGGAAAGGAAATAAAGTGTAAGAAAACGAGTCAACTAACTGCACAAAACAAAATACAGACGAGTGGAGCATGTGAAAAATGAAGCCTGGAAGTAGGAACTCACAGCGCAAGTACTGGGTGGTGGTGGAATTGGTGGGGAGCACCATGAGGTAACATGTTCGGAAGATGATGAGGGGAATTCGGGTTTCCTGCCAAGGCGGAAAAATAGTGACCGGGAATCGGGCCAGCTGCAGAGGCAGCTAATGCATGTTCCCTTTCGTGAGGCCCGGGCAGCTGCATTGTGTGAACCGAATGTGGTGCGCCTGTTGGTTTCGGCAAGATTAACCGGAGCGTAAATCCAAATCACCTGATGCAAGTTGGCCTGGTATGTTCAATGGACCAGACAACACAGGGCTACTGTGTACCGGTTGCATATGCAGTCCTGGTGGCGCTCCGCCCGAAGCGATCGCAGACGGCATTCTGCTCATTTGTAGAGTTGAAGATGGAAAAACAGTACATAGGTATTTCGGACCAATAAACTAGGCGTCAAAAAGAGCCTTATAGCCCACAGCCTTTGCGGTATAGTGCGATAACTAACGTCCAATCGCCAGAAAACCGACGGCGACAGACGCGCAGGTGCGCCGACCTTGACCGAAGAAAATGGTCGCCGAGGCGCCGTGACTTAATTTAGTAGTGAAGTAAAACAATAACCACCAGTTCAAAAGTGGTTCCAAGACTTGAGTTCACGGATTCACGATTTGAAAAGGTTCAAACAGTATACTCGCACACTTGCGAATAGGAGGTCGAAAACTCATGAATTCTCATTGGAACTTTGAACTTTGAACTTTGAAATCAGCAGCCGAAAGTGGGGGAGAAGTCCGCCTCTGGTTATTTTTGTAGGGTTATAATGGGGGTTGATAGAATAAATTACATGATAGAAACCGGTGAACCTTACCCAGTCCTGAAAGTGCATCATGCTGTGTGCTGTCAGCGGTCATTTCACATCTTTCTAGCTCGCTAGTTGGGTGTACGCCATATATGGAATTACTGCCACTACCGCACGATCTGACTGCGTATGTCGAGCGATGCCCGAGAGACGAAGTGGACTAGGGTTGGTGTGACCCGACTAAACGAAAGTGGTGAGCCTCACAGATACTCTCAGGCTACCCCATGCATGACTGTTTTCCTAAATGTTCTTTTTTATTATTTTTTAGAACAAACGGGAGCACAGCTGTCGTCCGCTTGTATTTCTTGGTGTTGTGGGACATGTGACGGCCGAAACAAGGCCAATCCAGCTACAGACAAACAGCAACACTGCTCTTTTTTGGTTTTCCTCAATTAAACGGCAGGCTCAGAACAACCGGCGATGGGCGAAACACCCGTGCTACTGGAGGGGTGGCGAGTATACGAACGCACCATGGTGCAACGTAACGGGGCGACCCTCCAGCGACAGAGACCCCACCAGCCCTCCCTCGTTTTGCGTCAGCTCGAAAAATAGAGCAACCGTCTTTCGAGATCTCCCCATCAGACATAGCTGGTGTGAACCAGGTCTCTGTGAGTGCGATTATTGACCGTTGTTCAAGTCAAGCTGACTGTTTAACATCGCCGAGTTTGTTGAAAAGGCTGAGGCAGTTTGTGGACAAGCATTTCAACACCGTCTCAGCTGCCTCCGAGGGTGAGGAGCCGAAAGTTGAGTGACCAGGGTTATTAGCACACTTAGTGGTTGTGCGCTGGCTTTGAGTCCAAGGCACCAAAGGGGGTTCTGGGGAGATGTCGTCTGCTTCCTGTCTTCGTGATTTCTGCGGGTGCTTTTCGCTTGCGAGGTTAATTTCGTTCCGTGGGAGCCCGGTTTGCTCAGGCCTTTTGGCTTTGGGGTACGGATTTTTTTCCCCGTGGGCGAAAATTTCGACCGATGCTGTTTGTAGGTATTTCAGCATCCCTTTTTCGTCGACCAGATTTGCTGTTGATCAAAGATTTGCTGCAAGCTTTCGCCTTTATGGATTCTTGGGTGTTTTGGCGCGGTTTGACCGGATATATTTCTCCCTCTAAGGCCCTGAGCGCTAGGTGGCGGCACCATGAAGCATTGCAGTTCGTGGCGCCCCCCAGGAGGACCGTTTACGCGAACTGCATTCTGATGCCAGCTAGCGGTTTTCTAATCTGGCGAGTTTTATGTGGCTTGTTTGGCTGCAGTCGCTCTTCTTCCGTGTTTGTGTGAACACCCGATCCGCCAGCGCTCAGCGTGGCCAGCTGGACGTACGATGGACTTTCCGGTTGGCTGTAGTCACGTTTTCGGCTATGGCTTTCAGGGTCCTGGGCGACGGCTGTCCACAAGCAGCGGGGCCACCTTCGACGGAGTAGAGCTGGAGACTGGCTTCGCTGCTTGTCTCCGCACATCTGATCCAGTCCAGTTCAGATGCTGCGGATTTATTGAGGAGTTCGTGGTTCCGCTTCTGTCGTCTGTCACGAAGATAAGCGTTGATAGCTCCACTACTTTGGGCGCTGTTTGCATGTGAGGTTGCCTCCTCCAGAGCATCACTGCATTTGACGGACGAGGGATCTGTGGTGGTCGAATAAAAACTGCTGTCCGGAGACGCGGTTGGTTGCGTCGGCATGCTTTCGGGAGCACAAGATGCTATGATCACAATTGGCCTGGCCATGAGTTTCGTGTCGGCTGAGCTGGCGCCAAGCGGAAGCCCGTTTTGTGCCTCTACCCTTGATCTGCTGGGGCCCAGCTTTTGCGCCTCTAGAGGACGGTCCTCAGGTAGACGCCTGATCATTGGGTAGGCCTTTTGAATGCTGCCAGCCCTCTCCAAGGTCTTCTGTATGGCAGATGGGGAGGAAAGGTTGTCTAGAAGCCCAAGTGTGCGCCTGCTTCCCTCCTGGCACAAACATTCTGCGTGAAGTGGTTGTTGATCAGGCTCAGTGGGGACACCACTAAGGAACGACAGCGCCAGCCTCGCTGGCGTGATTTTCCCGGAGAATGACCCCCAGATTATCACTCTACTCTCCCTCAAGCGCCTGTCCACTAGAGACGCTGTGACGGTCTTTATTCCAGCGTCAGGAAGCTATATGACGTTACCTGCAGCCAGCGGAACCGGGATGGATAGCGCGAGGGTGGAGGGCGTTGGCGCAGATGGGTCAGGGGAGTTAGCTACTCGACTTATCTGGTTGTCCTGTAAAACCGTGCTTCTGAAGTGCCACCAGGTCTTGCGGGTGTAGCATTGCATACCGCGTTTTGCGTTCGACAGGTGGCCATTTGGCCCAAATCTGTCGTGGTCTATCGATGGCTGCAGAGGGCAATCGGTATAACTCGATGTCATGGTTATGAGTGATGACAAAATAGATGGTGAGCGCGAAGTAACTGGGGTTATCTCCTAAACGCTATGTTAGAGTCATGAAATTCGACAATGACCCGCGTGTATGCTGTGAATGGATTGAATAGCGGAAAAATTCTTTCGCGAATTTGCATGAGGAAAAAACAAAAAATATCGCGAACGTACATCCTGTTGAATTAAACTGTACATGGCAGTAGCATTACCGCTGCGTGTGATAACCAAATCTCGGCATCGCAGCATCAGCTTACAACAGGCTCCCACAACATCCAAGTGGGTCCACTTGAGCATGCAGTGAGTCTGCGTTTATGGCAACACGAGGTCCAAACGATTTATGAAGGCATAAACGGGATTAAATTAGATATACAATTGCCGTCGAGTGAGCCTAATTTACGAAAAAAGGAAATGACGTATCGTTGTAGTTGTAGCGAAGCGTTTTCTAACTAAGAAACGCATGGTGAAGCGCTTAAGCACACAGCTACGCGTAAAGAGGGCCGCTGGATAAGGCTATCATGCCTAGTCGTGGCCTCACTCAAGGGCGCGATTGGGCACGGGTCCTGCGATCACTGCCAGCGGCCAAAGTGAGCGACAGGGCGTATGGTTGTCAAGAGGGAAGGCAGTTTAGCTTTATTTTCTGGCAAAGTCGCTGCGGTTTCCGACCTAACCTAGCTTTGTAAAGTCATCCTTTACAGTACGAGAGACCTCTCACAGAGACTGGTCATTCACATGCATAACTGATAACATGAATCATTCACGGAGACGCATATCTGCATCAACGCTGCAAAGTTTATGAAGTTACCCCTGGTTGTTTTACTTCACCCGAAGCAAGACTTGCCGAAATTCGGTCAACCTACTCATTTGCTTTGTTACGCCTGACGAGCATGATGGAGCCAATTGATATCCAAGTAATCACCAGGATTAAACTTACATTGTAAATTCTATTAATGTTATCACTCCTTCGAGGAACACCGCGGAACGTTGGAATACGCCACGAATTGATTTCGTGCTTTTTCTCGCCAACTAGTAACCATGCGCGAAACGACGGTGCTAGCTTAAGCAATAGACCATAAGCAACACGACTGAAAAGTGCAGCCAGAATCGACTAATTCACTGTAAAGTCATCGACTTTGAAAACCTTAAGATTTTGGAGAAATTTACTATGGTTTGGCTCTCATGATCGGCTGGCATATTTTGCAGCCTAAGGTGTATTCAAAATCTGTGCCATCTCTTTCTGTTGGGCCGAAAATGCAACTGTGCGAGCTTCCTTGTTCCACTTGCGTCTACTCAGCGAGATCGATAACAGTCACAATCACCCTACATTAAGTAAGTCCCTATTACGATTAGTTGAAAGCCGCATTCTAGTAAGGTCAATTTTCTGTGCCGCCTTGATAGATCCAAATGGCTTACGCGTGATATAACAGCGTACCATTTCCCAATGCACCTCGCACTGAATTTATTGGTCCGAATTTGTCCTAACTGAGTCCTTTCAGGTGTTCTCCATTGGTGTTACCACGAATAACTTGGAAGAGTTTACAAACACTTATTCACATACCGATCCGCTTTTCACGAAAGACTTGCCGAAGATTAGCTGATATTTTATCAGTTATCAATCTAGAGTCTTTTGTGATCATACCTCATTTGCGCCGGTTCATCTGCAGCCCATACATTCATGAATAAGCTTTGTACCGTAGTAGTCTGTTCAAGTGCTGGTTTTTGGGGTTTTCGTACTCGACATTCTTTAGTACTGGTTACCCAACTAAATGGCCAGGGGGCGTGCCATACCGCTTCCAACTTGGGAAACTAATTTGCCATTCGTGTTCCAGGCTTTTTATCGGGTTCTAAGTATATTAAATCACGCCACCAGGCATGACATCGTTCCTCATAGAAATCTGGACGGTTAAATATCAGGTATGTAGACAATTTCAGTTGCACCTATCCCGTATTAGAAGTATGCCTCCGCAGACGTATCATTGTTCCACCATCTATCATCAGCCTGGTGGAACGGAGCCGATATGGGATCTCAGGTTTTCTGGTCCGTTTGGGGATCCTATGGTTGAAGACCATTGGCCAGTTGGAGTCGATAGCAGTCAACCAGGCGTCCAAACCCGGGTATTTCCGAAGTTCAAAACTTGAGATGATGGACTGCGATGAGAGTAGTGAAGCATGGTAGGTTCGGGGAGACACGAAATGGGATAATGCGCATTAATACACATAGAAAGAAAAACTTTACATCTACTGTGATTAGGGTGGACCATTGGCCAGTTGGAGTCGATAGCAGTCAACCAGGTCGTCCAAACCGGGTATTTCCGAAGTTCAAAACTTGAGATGATGGACTGCGATGAGAGTAGTGAAGCATGGTAGGTTCGGGGAGACACGAAATGGGATAATGCGCATTAATACACATAGAAAGAAAAACTTTACATCTACTGTGATTAGGGTGATGACAGTGATTACATAGAATAAGATATAGATGGATTTATGCTTAATAGACTAACGATCAACAGATGGGTTTGTTAGCATACAGTATTGAAGTGCAGAGGATCTGATAAAAGCCCACATGAGCACGCAGCGGGGTGGCGTGGTTAGGGAAATCAGATGTATTACGGCTGACGGGGTTAACTTCCGAGATCACTGGCTGATCTAGTGTTTTTTACACGAGTTGGACAGTACCAGGGGAGAAAGCAAGTGTATGAGAAATAGTCACCAGTCCCCGAAGTACTGCTTTCAGCCTCAACTTAACAAGGTGGCTCATGGCGAATGGAAAGCTTTCGTGCAGTAGTCTTGCATGCTGATAGCGAAGTGTTAGGAATCTCTGTATATATAGTTCTCATTGCATATGTTCACTCCTGGGGGTAGTGAGTGGGTGCGTGGGTTTTGCTTCGTTGACTAAGTTGGCCTTGTTTCGCTACAAACCCAATTATGACAAAGGCAGCCACAGCTCCGCACATCGATTTATGCCATGGGAATCACATATTCTCCAGGCTATTCCGTTTGTTTTTTGGGAATTTCTCTTCTTTCAATGGACGGGAGGCCATTTTTCTTCATTTTTTTCATTTTTTATCGTCTGTAGTTTATGGCTTTGAGGCTTAAACGACACACCCGGGACGAGTCCAGTCAAGCAGCAAAAACAAAAACAACAGAGCTATTTTGTTACTTCTCTGAATTAGAGGCCACGCTCAGAACCACCGGCGATGTGCGAAGCATCCGTGCCAATAGAAGGGTAGCGGGTATAAGATGTCGCGATACATTTTTACACAAATATCAGGAATGAGAAATCCAATAATCGTAGGTGATTTTTCAGCGAAAGCAGCCGTGGTGAGCAAATCGGTGTACTTCTGGTTACAATAGAAGATATTGAAAATCAAGTAGGGCGAGATTTGATACGGGCTGAAAAATGGCGTCTCCAAACAAATGCGGAGCCTTGTCGCAGGGTCATGTTACAGGCAATTAATTCAAGTACCTCAAACATCACCTCTTCGAGAGACCAGTGTCGGTATATGTAGATAATACACACTCGAGTCTGATAAAGACGGCGAGTCGCGACGCTGAACTCTGGGGCTAAAGGCGTTTGCCTTTTTAACAATGCCTACCCCAGGCTAACCAAATTCTTGTTGTTCAACTAAGCATATGAAATTCAAAGCTGAGGGTTTGCCGCGGCCGCTGGCTATTTGCACACCCGAATTATCTTCACTGAAACTACAGGGTTTTAAAAGTTGAGACCTCTACGGTGAGTTAGTCTAATCCATTTGCACCTTCGGCGATATTTCGCATACAGCATTTTGTTTAAGTTAGTGAAACTTCAAGGTCACGGACTGCCAACGATTCGCATTCTTCACTGCTCCACGCGATGTGAGACACGAGAGCGCACTTCAGCATATTTCGGCGTTCTTCAGTGTTCTGTAAGAACAAAGAACATCTAAAGAATATATAATGTAAATTTAACTCCGGTAGACAGGTAGTTGACGCTTGTTTGCCTCACACACCTATGAGTAAATAAGGGCGATTATAATCGCAAAATCTATTTTGTTCGGCGAACCTGGTCACAACACATTTTCCCATGGGTCCAAACTTCCATTAAGTAAAACATTGTTTGGCAACTGCATGAACTGTGCATTTGCGACGCATATGCCATCCCTGTGGGTGATCCCATTTCTCAGCTACGCATAACTAGCCTGTGGATAACACAGCGTCACGAAAGAGCTGCAGGTATCATTCCTGTTACGAATATGACGCACTATAGGTGGTGACCGCCATAAAGCGGCCACTATGATAACGGTAGCCGTTGTTACTCACCTCGATTTCTTATCATAACTGCTGGGTCTGTGTCTATGTACGATGTTGATTGTGGGACCTCACCTAGGCACGGCAGCCTAATCCAATTACCATCGACGGTCCCTTGTGCTCATAACTCTACGCGTTGTCACCCATCTCGAATACTTATTGTCTATCTGTCGTACTCATTAATGTGCGCGTTGTGGCTTATCTTTGCTACTTATGCTAAACACCGGACCAGTATTTATGCGAACCGATGAATAGGAGGCCAAAACTATGCACACATACCTAATATAATGGCAAACGACAGACCTTATACTCACAACTGTACGGAATATCGCCTACCTTGAACAACTTTTGAAACTGCTGGGCCCGTGCGTACATGCGACGCTGATTATTAGGTGACAACTATGCGCAATGTTCTAATCTAACTGCCAACGATGGTCTGGCACACCAATAACTGTGTGCGCTTTCACTTAGCGGGCCGATGAAAACGAGGCTCCAACTATGCGTGACATCAAATCTAACGCAGTATTTATGCGAACCGATGAATAGGAGGCCAAAAC